TGTTTTTATTGAGTCCTTAATTGGTAACTTGGGAATTTATTAAGCTGCTTTGTCCATGTGAAAAAATATATTCTTACAAATTGCAGAGAGGAAGCCTTCTAGTTAACTTGTTCTCTAAATGTATCTGGCTAGATGTCCACTTTACATGGAATAGATCAGGGGTAGGCAACCTATGGCACGTGTGCCGAAGGCGGTACGCGAGCTGATTTTCATTGGCACTCACACTGCCTGGGTCCTGGCCACTGGTCCGGGGGGCTATGCATTTTAATTTAATTTTAAATTAAGCTTCGTAAACATTTTAAAAAACCTTATTTACTTTCTATACAACAATAGTTTAGTTATATATTACAGACTTATAGAAAGAGACCTTCTAAAAACGTTAAAATGTATTACTGGCACACGAACCCTTAAATCAGAGTGAATAAATGAAGACTCGGCACACCACTTCTGAAAGGTTGCCGACCCCTGGAATAGATGCTGGTGATACAATTTCATTTACACTGAAGTGTATCAAGGGTTTTGCTCAGATGTTTGGCAGAGGTCCTCTACACTGCCGCACAAGAGATCCACACTCAATTCTTTAGGTCATCAAGGACTGGGGGAGATTCTTGAGGAATTTAATAATCCTTCCAGATAATTACAGAGCAGCAAGCTTCATCTACTCATTTTAGGTTGAATGGATTATGGGCCTTGAGGATGGTTTGGAGAGGGGTGGAATTTAGGTCCCAATCCAGTAAAGCACTTAAGCACCTTCATTCCTTTAAGTACAAGAGGTCCCATTGGCTTGGGACTATTCATATGCTTAACTGCTTTTCAGGATTAGGATCTCAAGTAGGAAGAACAATTATTGAGTGGGATTCTGCTGATCTGCTTTGCAACTGTGTAGGTATATTATAAACCTAACTGTAAAGCAGAATTTCCTTTATTTGCCGTGAATTTCCTGCTAGTTCATTCAGTGTTAAAATATGATGTGCAGCTAGTGCTCCTTAAACAAAGGACTTCATCATAAAGTATGTCACTCATTTTAGAATGACATTTATGTCCATCACATTGTATATCTTATTGGTTGGCATTTTATAACTGTAACTTCTTAGTCTGAATCTCAATTTTGAAATAAAGATTACAGAAACCTTTACAAAGGGTAAAGAAAAGAAACCTGTCTCAAAACCTCCTGTAGTGTTAGTGCTGTCTGTAACAAGTAGCTTAGAAGGGTTTCTTTATTAATATGACTCTTCTCTGTAACATAGTTTTGTTATCTCCTCAGAGCCAGTGTATGTCTCTGAATTCTCCATTTTGCTTGCTTTCGTTATTTATTGTTGTTTGTCACTTTACAAACAAAAGGACAGGTTCCTGCCTAAAGTAGCTTAGTAGGGTCTTTAAGCTATAGACTCATTTATACATTTACTTGTAAACAGCATTCCTAGTTAACAAAAACAGATTAGTTTGCAAATACTGAATTGCCCTACTGAAGGCCATTCCACCTAGTAATCCATCCCTGTCAGTGGTCAATACCACATGCTTCAGAGGAAAATGCAAAAAATCGCCATAGTAGAGATTTATGTACATTGAAGTATGACGTTTTGTATCCCTTCCATACTTTTTTGACTAGCTTTCTTTTTTTAATCCTTATTACGACTGGATTTAACTAGATACTGTCATTTTCTATATAAATGCCCAGTCTATTTTTTATTCTTGTTTCACTCTTGGCTTTAATGTTATCTTGTGGCAATGGGTTTCACATGCTAATTGTGTGTTGTGTAAAACATTATTTCCTTTTATCAGTTTAAAATTTTCTGCCTTCGGTTTCATTGAATGTACCCTTGTTCTGGTATTATGAGAAAAGGTAAATAGGAGTGCCTGATCTATTTTCTCTATACCGATCAATGTTTTGTATACTTTAATCACATCCCCTCTTATTCATCTCCTCTCTGAGCTATATGGTCTTCTAATCTTGTTTTTAGACTAATTCTGCTTTATCCTTTTTAAGATAAGTTAAATTGAAGAGTTTCTGAACATGAGAAACCAAAACAATATGAGATAAAAGCACAACTTTAGATTCCTACTAACTACATACAAAAGAGAAATTCTTTTTATTATTCCAACACTTACACATAGCTTCTTGGGCATGTCTACACTTGCCATTTAAAGCGGAAAAATTCCCTTTTGCGTGCAAAAACCATGGGAGCATCTACATTTGCCAATGACTTTTTGCAGTGAAACTCAGAAGCTTCACCGCAAAAAGAAAACCACCTCCACGAGAGGCGTACAGTTCTTACCGGTGATGCTTTTGCGGTGATGTGCAAGTGAAGACATGTTCTTCCTGTTTACACAGCTTTTAGCCTCCGGAGGATATACCACAATGCCTAGGTGACCACTCTGGCGAGCAGCTCTGCTGCTCTGATGCCAGGTAAACAGACATCCACCCCTCCCCCTGCAAAGCCCCTGGAACTTTGAAACTCCCCTTCCACTTATCTGGCCAGGTGACAATGCCTGTTCCACGGAGCAAACAATCCCCTGCTTGGAGCAATGCTGAGCTACTGGAGCTGATCAGTGTTTGGGGCGAGGAAGCTGTGCAGGGACCCAGATGCCCCGATCTCACACACACACACCCCTTCCCACAAGACCCATCGTCAAACTGGAGAGAACTGCACTGTGGGATAGCTGCCCTAGAGTGCTGCTCTCATCTGCAATGGAAGTGCTGCTAATGTAAACACTCTCTGATGCCTCAGGAATTAAGCGCTTTACTTTCACCGGTTCCCTATCACCGATGAAACTTACAGCGCAAAAACTCTGCAAATGTAGACATACCTCTTGTGTACTTAGAGATCTGGCCCTTCCCACAGTTACCCAGTCTTCAAACAGGTCTTCTTGACGGTGCTTTCACTCCTTTCTCCTTCTTTAGACTTACATGGTAAGGCCATAGCCAATCTTTACTGGCTCTAGTCAACATCTAACTAAACTCTTACAGTTTATCCGTCTCGTTAATCTGTCTCCTCATTCTAGAATACCACTATCCAAAATTATAAAGGAATTCTAGAGGGGAGTTGCCATGGTGACTCCAAGTATCATTTCTAGAAGCTCTTAAGGCTTAGACACAAAACCCTCATTACTTCACATGTCCCTTGCTACTCTGTTTTTGGTGTCCCTAAGGCAATTCTCATATTTGTGCCTCTCGCACGTTGAGTATGACAGGGCTAAAGACACTTGGCTAGCTAGGCAGCTCTGTCAGCGCACCTAAGGCCCTAACCTGCCTGTGAACATCTCTGGTGTAAGTGGCAGAATGGTAGGATGTTTGTTCTCACAGAGACCCAAGGAGAAGGTTCTGAAAGATTCTAAAGGCAACTGAAATCAGCTGTAGAGACAGAGAAACATGCATCAAGCTGGAAGCCATTAAACCAGTCAAGGAATCAGGTGCCCAAAGCTCTAAGGAAACGGTTAAGTCATGCAACAATTGCCATCCTGACACTTACTAGCTAGAGACGGTAAAGAAGGAAACAGGAGAAAAGTCATGAGGGTATAAGCAAAGAAATATCCCACAGAGACTGAGAAGATTCTGTCATGTCACTTTTTAGGACCACTGCTTTTAGGATGATAGCTTTATTAATAAGAGGATGACAAAAGCCAGACAACTTGCTACCAGTTGTGAATGAACTGTGTTACTATTCATCTGCCTGCCTAGGCCCTAACAGTTTAATCTTTTATTGGGTGGTTCACACTCATGAGCCTCTGAACTCCCAGTGATCTTCTGACCCTTCTGAATGGCATAAATAAGTCTCAGTGTCTGCATTTCTGCTCCAGTAAAACCTATTAGCTTTTGACAGTTGTCCACTGTATAAACATATTGCCTCTAAGACCAGAAAAAGGTATGGGTGTGAAGGGAAAAACCTGTAAGTAGTATTTAAATATCAGGGGTTAACTTTAACCATGATTTTGTAGTATTGTCCTCATGACTGCCAGTCAGGTGGTGGTTTTTGTGTTGTGGACAACTGAGAACAAGGATGAAACCAAAGTTCTCTTTCCTTTTTCTTCATATTTACAGACCAAGCAAACTAACTCTGGACTGTTAGTGTTCCTCAAACTATAGAGACACCATTTACCCATTATACAATGAGTTGATTTCTTTTGGTTTGCTGTTGAATTGAATAACCTCATAGCACTAGATAATAGGGATACATGTTATTATTAGAAGGAGAACAAATTAATATAGACATAGTAAGCCAGAACAAGGTATGCATCAATGTCTCTCATTTATGTACCCCTGTTCAGAATGACCAGTTGATGGAGCACAAATTCAGTACTTCTGAGTGCAGTCTCTTCATCCCCTATCAGTTTATTTGGTTTTTCAGGGGTAAAACACCAGATGTGCACTTTGGGTATGATATTAAAAATAAAAACCCAACTGGTCAATCAGAATATAGCTGCACGCAATTGATATCCCCAACAGTCTCTGAAATAACAAGAGAAAGACCTCCCAGCTTGGACCAGTGTTTATTCCTGGGAAGGAAAATTTACAAGCCTTATAGTTCCTCTCTGCTATATTGTGCAGATAAGAGGAAATGCCTATAAATATTGGCCATATATGACTGGGGGAACATTGGCAGTGCCGCATGCTCTGGGAAACTCCCCCACATAAACAATGTACAGTTAACACCCAAACAGAGTTTGTGGTCATGTCACCTGAAAGAGATGTATGCCATGCTCCCTTCAGATAACACAATTTCCAGTGGAATTCTCTAAGGAAGTTAATGCTGATTCTCGCAGTATTACTTTTAGCTGTTCAGTTTCTACCTGCTTTGTGGGGGGAGGGGAGGGCGAGAATACAAGTTCAGACGGGAGACCAATGGCAGATGTGTTGTTGTGAGAAAGGTTGCCCAAAACAGCACGTGGAGGGGCAGATGCTGCACATGTGTGTGCCAAGAGCCCTGGGGTGAATGCTGAGATTCCTCATGGATCCTCAGATTTCATGCTAGTAAGTGATATTATGTTCTCTCTGTCCCAAGGAGGTAACCCAGCACAGCTAAAGAAGTTCTTTCCCCTTTCCACAGGAAGGAGATAATTTGGCCATACAAGTAAGGTTGTTTTTTTTTTTAAACTTCTTTAGACTTGAAGTCTGATTAATTCAATAATTGTCTTATACAGATGTGTCTGTTCATGTGCCAAAGATAGAAATAACTACATTATTTACAGTGACAAAGATAATCATTTATAATTTTTCCCCATTCTGTGACAAAAATGCCCACATCACAGTTATTGGGTCTCATGAAAATGATGGGATTAATTTGAGTACTTAACAAAGTGTACTGCTTCAGCTGTTGGGATTTGGGGAGAGGTCGGAAAACATTTCAGGATGCTGGGTTTGGGCCTAATGAACTCAATGGAAACTTGGACTGAGTGAGGACTGGAGGATCGGATTCAATCTGCAGATGTGGGGGTCTCAATCAGGACCTATTTTGTATTTCCATTCTTTGTTCCTCTCTAATAGCACTTTGGCACAGACAGAAGAGGATTTCCTATAATGTTTAGTTACTCTCGTGTCTTTTATAGTGTCTGAAAACATTTGTTGCCCAAGCCCCAAGTCCAAAACACTGTTTAGGATTTTTCAGAAATGCCTGACCTTTGCACCCTGGAAAGTAATTAGCACTCCTCGGGAAACCTTCCGCACGCTGCAGATAGCAGACCGAGATTGCTGTTGTCTCCATCCATTCTGGTTTGAGAGTATCACCGGATAAGCTTTTGATAAATAGTTGGATTAATTCTATTTACTTCAAACTGAAATGCATCTATAAGGGTACTTTCAACTGTTTTAACATTGTACAATCCAGAAATCCCATGAGTGACTGAGGGTCTAAATGACTTACGCAAGGTCACACAGCGAGTCAGTGGCAAAATGAGAAATAAAATTCAGAACTGCTGACTCCTAGATCTTGCTCTTACCACTAGAGGTAAAACTATTTAACTTTAAAATGTTATGGACCATACCTTGATGATGTATTTTCAAAGTAGATATTCTTCATATTTGACTATGGACAAAACTTGGAAAAAGTTCATTGACTGAGTTTGAGTTCTGACAATACATTTACACCATACATGCAGCCTATCAGAAAAGTGTAGTTTGGAATCTTTAGTGATGATCCATCCTGGTAAATAGAGGAAAATGTTTCGATACTCTACCAACAATAATGCCAATTTGTGTGTAATCAAGTTAATTGTTCCGTGTTGTAGAGATGAGGAAAAAACTCAGTTGAGTATTGCCAGGGAAGGACAAATTCAGTTTAGAATAGAGAAAAAGAGGCCTTTTTAATTTTATTGCTCCCTTAACATATGGAACTGACCTAGTTTTGCCAGCTGTCATATTTTATCCTTGCTTAGATGCCACAGTGATTTCCATTGTTAACCAAAATCCTTAAATAAAATCAAACTGCTTTGCAAGGGAAAATGGAGACTTGGAAATTAATTAGATGTTTGCAGTTCTCTATATTTAGATCTCAGTTAGAATAGTTTATTTCTGCTAATGAACTAAGTTTTGTTGAATTTGAATGGCTAATCTTTTGAAACTTATCAGTTGACCCTCTATAGTTAATGTTAAACCATATTGTGGTGTCTGTATTCCTTACACCAGCCTATGGGTGGGATTTTCAGAACTGCTCGGCTTTGGACTAACTCTACACCTATCAAAGTCCATGGTAAAACTCCCACTCCACTGCGAGCATAGTTAGACCAATACTGAGTGCTTTTGAAAACCCCACCTTATCTGCAGAAACTCCAGCCACTTTATAGGACAGTACTCAAGGGATGGTAGTGCCCAAAGAAGCCGTAGCAAGAATTACATCTCTAGTGGATATTTTTCCTTTTTAAATTTAACTTAATAAAAACTAAGTTAAATGTGTTTCTGAAATATTATATTTTAAGTATATTCCTCCAGCTTGGATAAACTCCACCATTCATACAGAACTTAAAGTCTGGCAGTAGCCTCAGCAAAGTGAATAATCCAAGATGCTTTACCATGCGTGCTGTGGTATGTAGGCACAATTGCATGTGTTAAAGAAATAAAAACCAGATCCTACAACCCTTATGTAAGTAGTCCTTACTTAAGCTGTTGACTTAAAGAGGACTGTTTATGCAAGTGCGGTTGAAGGATGATGGCATGGTATCCTCTCTCACTGAAGATACCTCTCTCACAGGTACTAGGAAGAACCAGATGATAGTAAAGCAGGATTGGATAGTTGAGTTTGTGATCACTGGGAAAGCCACATGGTAAATTGCCTTGCAGGTGCAAAGGTTGCAGATCTCATGAGACATCTAGACAGACTTATCTGTTGTGCTGGAGAGGAGTCAGTGGTCCTGGTAAATGTAAGTACCAGTGACATAGGGAAAGGTTGGAGAGAGGCCCTGGAGGCCAAATTTAGCCTCCTAGATAAGAGATTAAAGTCCAATACCTCAATGGTAGCATTCTCTGAAATGCTTCCAATTCCAGAAAGACATGCAGAACTGCAGGTTCTATATATGTGGATGAGATGATGGTGTGGGGAGGAGGGTTTTAGGTTTGTTAGGAACTGGGGAAAGGAGGCGCCAATACAGGAAAGATGGTTCTACCTAAACCAAAATGGAACCAGACTGCTGGTGTGTAACATTAAAAAGGTTGTAGAGGATTTTTAAACTAAGGGCTGGGGAAAAGCAGACAGGTACAGGGGAGCATATGGTTCAGACAGAAACATCCCTCAAGGATGCATTTATTAAGGAAGAAAGTCTATATCATGGTAAAGAAGATAGGAAAGAAGTTGGTAAAGTACAAGTATGAGCTAGTGAGGAACAATCAAACTTGAAAGAGTCCCATTTAAATATAAACATGAAGGCAAGCAAATGAATATTGACAAAATGTACAAGTGCTTGTATACAAATGCTAGCATCTAAATACTAAGATGGGTGAACTGGAGTGCCTGGCATTATATGAGGCTGTTGATATAATAGGCATCATGGAAATTTGGTGGAATGAGCATAATCAATGGGACATGGTAACTCGAGGGTACAAAATACAATGACAGAGTAGGTTGTGCTGGTGAGGGAGTGGCACTATATATGAAACGAAAGCACAGCATCAAATAAAGTAAACATCTGAAATGAATCAAACTTTACTATAGAATCTCTATGGATAGAAATTCCATGCTTGAACAATAAGAGTATAGCAGTAGGAATATACTACCAACCACCTGATCAGGATGATGATGATGGTGATTGGGAAATGCTCAGGGAGATTAGAAAGGCTGCAAAGGCAGAAAACATAATAATAATGGGGGATTTCAGCTATCCTCATATTGACTTGGTATATCATCACCTCAGGAAGGGATGCAGAGAGAAATTTTCTAGATACCATAAATGACTGCTTTTTGGAGCGCAGCTTGTCCTGAAACCCACAAAGGGAAACACAATTCTTGATTTAGTCCTAAGTGGAGCACAGGATCTGATCCAAGAGGTGAATATAGCAGAACCGCTTGATAATAGCGACCATCATGTGATTAAATTTAACTTCCTTGTGGGGGGGCGGAATGCCAAAGAAACCCACTACAGTAGCATTTAATTACAAGGGGAACTACACAAAAACGAGGAAGATAGTTAAACGGATATTAAAAGGAACAGTCACAAGAGTGACATGCCTGCAAACTGCATGGAAACACCATAATAAATATTAAAAACACCATAATAGAGGCTCAAACTAAATGTATAATCTGAATTAAAGAAAACAGAGGACCAAAAAAATGCCACCATGGCTAAACAGCAGAGTAAAACAGGCACTTAGCGGCAAAAAAGCATCCTTTAAAAATTGAAAGTTAGATCCTAGTGTTCAAAATAGAAAGGAGCATAAATTCTGCCAAGTCCGGTGTAAAAGTATAATAAGGCAGGCCAAGAAAGAATTTGAAGAGCTAAGGACACAAAAACTAGCAGGAAATATGTTTTTAAGTATATCAGAAGCAGGAAATCTGCCAAACAATCAGTGGGACTACTAGACAATCAAGGTGCTAAACAAGCACTCAAGGAAGACAAGACGGGTGCAGAGAATCGAAATGAGTTCTTTACATTGGTTTTCACTGCAGAGGATGGGGGAAGATCTCCATATCTGAACCATTTTTTTTAGGTGACATATGTGAGGAACTGTCCCAGATTGAGGTGCAATAGAGGAGGTTTTGGAACAAATTGATAAAGTAAACAGTAATAAGTCACCAGGACCAGGTGGTATTCACCCAAGAATTCTGAAGGAACTCAGATATAAAATTGCAGAACTAGTAACTGTGGTATGTAACCTATTGGTTAAATGAGCCTCTGTACCAGATGACTGGAGGGTAGCTAATGTAACACCAGGTTTTTAAAAAGGCTGCAGAGGCAATGCTGGCAATTACAGGCTGGTAAGCCTAACTTCAGTACCAGGTAAATTGATTAAAACTATAGTAAAGAACAAAATTATCACACACAGAGATAAATACAATATGTTGGGAAAGAGTGAACATGGCTCTTATACAGGGCCGCCTGGAGGGGGGGGGGAGCAAGTGGGTCAATTTGCCCCGGGTCCCACAGGGGCCCCCACGAGAGTTTTTCGGGGCCGCTGGAGCGGGGTCCTTCACTCGCTCCGGGGGGCCCGGAAAACTCTCGCGGGGCCCGGGCCCCCGCTGCCGAAGACCCCAGGCCCCTGAATCCTCGGGGCGGCCCTGCTCTTATAAATGGAAGTCATGCCTCATCAATGTATTAGAATTCTTTAAGGTTGTCAACAAACGTGGACAAGTGTGATTCAGTCAATATAGGGTACTTGGACTTTCAAAAAGGTTTAGACAAGGTCCCTCACCAAAGGCTCTCAAGCAAACTAAGCAGTCGTGATATAAGGGAAGGTCCTCTCACGGATCCGTAACTGGTTAAAAGATAGGAAACAAAGGATCTGAATAAATGGTCAGTTCTCACAATGAAGAGAGATAAACAACGGGGTACCCCAAGGATCTGGACTGGGACCAGTGCTGTTCAGCATATTCATAAATGATCAGGAAAACTGGGTGAACAGTGAGGGGTCAAAATTTGCAGATGATACAAAATTACTCCAGATAGTTTAGCCCAAAGCTGTCTGTGAAGAGTTACTATGGGATCTCACAAGACTGGGTGACCGAGTAACAAAATGGTAGATGAAATTCAGTGTTGATAAATGCAAAGTAATGCACATTGGAAAACATAATCCCCTATTATACATACAAAATGATGGGGCCACTTTCTTGGAGTCATCGTGGATAGTTCTCTGAAAACATCTGCTCAGTGTGCAGTGGCAGTCAAAAAAAGCTAACATAATGTTAGGAGCCAAGATAGATAATAAGACAGAAAATATCTTCATACCACTATATAAATCTGTGGTACACCCACACCTTGAATACTATATGCACATCTGGTCACCCCATCTCGAAAAAGATATATTAGAATTGGAATAGATATAGAGAAGGATAACAAAAATGATTAGGGATATGGAACAGCTTCCATGTGAGGAGAGATTAAAAAGACTGTCACTGTTCAGCTCAGAAAACAGACGACTAAGGAGGATTATAAGAGAGGTCTATAAAATCATGAATGTTGTGAATAAAACGAATAAGGAAGTGTTATTTACCCCTTCAAATAACACAAGAACCCAGGGTCACCCAATGAAAATAATCAGCAGGTTTAAAACAAACATAAGGCAGTACTTTTTCACAAAACACACAATCAGCCTGTGGAACTCATTGCCAGAGGATGTTGTGGAGGCCAAAAGTATAACTGGGTTCAAAAAAGAATTAGATAAGTTAATGTAGGATACAGGAGTGCTGGAATAATTTTTATAGTGGGGGTTCTGAGAGCCATTTAACCAAACTGTAAACCCTATATAGAATAGAAACCACTTCAAGCCAGGGGATGCGGCAGTACCCCCTGCACCGCTAGTTCCAGCACCTCTGCAACTATTGGCTATTAGCCAAGATGGTCAGGTGTCTCCATGCTCCAGGTGTCCCTAAACCTCTGACTTCCAGAAGCTGGGACTGGACAACAGGGGATGGATCACTTGATAATTGTCCTGTTGTGTTCATTTCCTCTGAAGCATCTGGCATTAGGTTATGTCGGAAGATAGAATCCTGGACTAGATAGATCATTGGTCTGACCCAGTATGGCTTTTCTTATGTTTTTATGATAGAACCAATAATGGCAACATTAATGTGACAAGGCTTTTGCTTTTCCAGTTTATATGATTGCTTAGGATTAGTTTGTATGTAGAATCTTCAGATTAAAACTGCAACTGCTGCTGCAGCTAAATTGCTGCTATGTGTCCAGGTGATAAATCCTCCTCCTCCACTTGTCACTTTTAGCAGTGCTATTCTTGGGGAAATGTATGCATCTTTTTCCAGTAAGAATGGGGATGGTGATAACATTAGTCTTTGGGTAAGACACTAAAATGATGTGTGTCACATGCATTCATGGTTATCTCATTATTTTAAAAAGAACTTTTGTAATGGAATATTTATGTCTCATTTTTTAAAAATTGTTTATTTTATAGGATTTTTTTTCTTAAATGTAAATTTTCATGGATCAAGGTAAAACTTTCCTGTGATTTGCTCAGCTTAGAAGGCTGCATTCAACAGACAATTTCCTATCCCAGCTCTCTTCTGAACAGACTACTGAAGAAAGATGAACATGCTGAACAGCCACCACTTTTTGAACTTCTTGCCTACCATACGCCTTTTCATCTTATTAGCAGCTTTGACAGCTGCTGAGGATGTGACTAGTAGCACTTTAAATCACACTGACATGAACTTGGGAGCTGTACCTGTGATTATCTCCATAGTTGATCATATTACAGTCAAGGAAGGGAATAGTGCCTTGATTGACTGCAATGTCCAAGGAAATCCTGCTCCACACTACAAATGGTACAATTCCAATGGTTGTTTGCTGAAGGAAGAAGAGAACAGTGGTAAGGCTTTTATGCTCTGATTAATTTCTTACAATCTAACAAGGATCTTGGCATCCACACTTTGTTTATAATGGACTTTATTATTATATATAGACACATGTGTGTAAACGTAACAACCTTATTGTGTTTATGCTTTCCTGTGAGGAGGTATGAAAAAATGGCAGTCTCCTGGGGTCATGGCAGCTGTAAATTCATTTGTATACATTCTGCGAGAAAACAATTACAGATTTTAATGTTTTTTGGTTTGGTTTTGTTTTTTTTTTTGTGGCCACACACAGCAGGAAACAAAAAAGCTGAAGAGATAATATAGAAACAAAAAGGAAAGGATTCTTTTCATCAGCAAATTTGGGTTTGGATCCTAGTCACCACTCCGTTCCCTTTGCTCTGCTCTGGTGGCAAAGAGAGGATACAAAATTGGCTTAAGAGCTAGGTAGGGATTCCCTTTCCATATAGGAATCCTTGGGTGGCATGAAAGTACAGAAACATAGCCACCTCTCTGCCACCTTTGCCTGACCCCACTCCTGCCACAGTGAGAGTATCAGGGGACAGGAGAAGGTATGGCCAGAGCACACTGCATTCCAGTGATCCTGGGACAAAAGAAAAGTCCTACGGGACATTGGGAGTGGAGTCTTTCCAATCACTGCAAGTTGCACTAAGACTACTCATATGCTTAATGATAATAAGTAAGGCTCTGTGTTTGTTACGGAGGTCACGGATTTCGTGATCTCTGTGATTTCTGCAGCAGCCCGTACGGATGGCCCAGGAGCCTCCTGAGCAGCTTGGGCAGCCCCTGGGCCAGTTGCACCAACCACTGCTGGGGTAGTCTTGGGCCCCCCCATTCCCCAGCCGCAGGAGTTTAGGTGTGGGGAAGCTCAGGGCTGAGGGTTGGGGTGCGGGACGGAGCTCAGCTGGGGGGGGGCGGCTCCCCAGAAGGGCAACAGGAACTCCCCTCCCTCCGCTCCTAGCTCCATGCTCTGCCTCGGCCTGCAGGCTCCGCCCCCACAGCTCCCATTGGCCATGGGTCCCAGCCAATGGGAGCTGCAAAAATGGGGCTTGGGGCAGAGTGGAGGCCGCACGTGGAGCTAGGAGCTGGAGAACGCCGCTTCCCAGGAATCAGGTAGGAAGTCTGCCCCAGCCCTGCCACACGCACCCCCCCAGCACCTGCGGTGCCCCTCCTGAGCCGCACCCCCCTCCCACACAACCAGGGCCCCCCTGGCCACATCTCCTGCCCCGAGCACCCATGGTGCACCCCCCCAATGTCTCCCTGAGCCACCCCCACCCACCCCCAAGTTTTAGTCAGGGGTTTATAGTAAAAGTCATGGACAGGTCGTGGGCCTTGAATTTTTGTTTACTGCCCATGACCTGTCCATGACTTTTACTAAAAATACCCGTGACTAAAACGTAGCCTTAATGATAAGTACATGCTTAAGTCCTTTGCCAGGTCCTTTGGGACCTTCGTATTACATAAACTTATCTTTATGACATTTAAATTTGGGGATAAATGTAAGTACACATTATTCCTTTAAGATACAAGTAAGGTTGTTGTAGTTTTATGAAGAGCCATATTGTCCATGTAATAGTTTCATGCTGACCACATTAAACAAATCATAATGAAATAAGATTTTGAGTTATTCACATTAAATGCAGGATGACTTGTCTTATCAATAGCTGACCTGAGAGAAAACCCTGATATGATGCAATGATTGACCCAGCTGTGTGCACCACAGCATAATGTTTCTGTAACAGCTTTCTGTAGTGTGTCTTGTACTAACATATTTATCCATATGGGTACAGAAAGGAACTGACTGAGCTTCAAGCATAGTGTGTAGGAGATAAGGCAGCATATTGTAATTAGTGCTTTGGAGAGCTTTTACTGGAGCTCTCTCAGAAATAGTACTGAACAAAGCACTGTAAATTGCAGGGATAATATTAAGGCATTATATCACTTCAGCTTAAATTTCCAGTATTACAAGTTGTTTGTCCAGGAGGAAACATACCATCTCCTCCTATAATGGGTGTTTCCTAACACAAGCTTTTTCCCTAGTGTGTGTATTACAATATTTAAAATGTAGTGCTGAATTGTTCTCATGCAACAGGAAAAGCTCTACACAACAGTGTGGGCAATGAAAGGGGCGAAAATAATAAACAACCAAAAAATACTGTGTTATGGACAATTTGTGCTTGGAATCCACATGGTTTGGCTTAACTGCTATTAGTACTTCCCAAGGTTAAAACAAGTGGTTGCCTAAGGGAGCAAAATGAATGTTCACTGTGAGTATAACTCAGCCAATGCAGAGAATTCATGCAGGACCCTGTGCACCACTTAAGACCCATTTAAGCCTTTAAATATCAGACTTAAGTGGTACATAGGGCCAAATGTAGGCTCTCTGCACTGTCGCTCTGTATGCCCAACTGAGAACTTTAAAGGTTGCATAATTTTCCAGTTTGTTGACGGCAGCAAAAACCTGTGTGCCAACACCAGTACCTTCTCTACACCCAGAATAGTCTTTGTTTCTCAGCAGGCTTGTGCTTTCTGCCAGAATCTTTTGGCACAAAACCAGACACTGTCTAAATGCAATTATGTCATTTGTAACAGCTGCAGCAGGAATACATCAGCAAGCCATTTTGTGATTTTACAATGAATAAAGATCCTACTGATTAAGAAGAGGATTAGCAATACCAATGCTTTATATATTACACTATATTATAAGTGGGGCCACCTATTATGAAGGTTGCCTGACACTTCCTTTTATAAGACCCTATTTTTAGTTGCTTATAACTTTGCCAAACTATTACCATTTGGGCTGAAATTTTCCATGCTGGGTGTCTGCCTCAGACTGAAATTTTCTTTAAAAAAAAAAAAAAAAAAATAACAGCAAAACCAGTTTGGCTGTTTCCAAGGATGAGGTTAAAGAAAGATGTGTTGTCTTATCCATGTTAAATTTGGCCTCATTGTAAGCTATTGGAAAAAAAAACATTGCAGTTCACACATGCTTGGTAGAGATTTGCTAGCACTTCGGAGCTAAATTCTTCCAAAGATTGTGTTCTCATTGGACATGCTCTAGCTCACAGTTGACTTTCCCTGCAGTTGCAGCTCTGTGTTGCTATGGGTAGGACCAGGACCAGACATTGGAACTGCAAGCGAAACTGTCTCTCCTAGGCTCTCAGTGATCTTCATGATGTTCAAGAGAAGGAAGTTGCCTGATTCAAATGTACAGGGGACAAGAGCTGGATAAGGGGGTGAGGTGCTGGTGGAAATAGATCGTGACAAGGCGCTTGGAGAGTATTGGGGGGGATGAGCTTAGATGCTGGTAAGAGGGGAGCGGTAGAGGAAAAAAGAAAATGGGAGTTGGGATAGGCAAGGAGACGGGGAGCCAAGAAGCTTAGGAGCCAGGGAGGGGGAAACTGAGATCACATCAGGAATGGGGGTAGATGGGGACCAGCTGGGCAAGTAGACAGAGACTGGGAATGAAGGGGGGAGTTGGGCTGGGGAGGGAAGGGAAACAGATGTGTTGAGGAGCCAGGATGCGGGGGGGAGAACTGGAAGTGGCTGGGTAAGGAGACAGACTTGGGATTAGAAGCCTGAAGAGCAGAGACGGGCCTGGCAAGGTGAAAGGATGGGACTGGGATAAGGATACCAGGGTGGGAAAGAGACAGGACTGAGACATGGACAGATTAGAGGAGACAGGATAGAAGGAGTCAAGTTTATGGGGAATGGGTCGATGGGTCTGTGACCACTAGTACACACTGCCCTCCAGAACAAGTCACCATTCCTCACCATCTCGCAATTCCTGCATCTGGCCTTTCCTTTGTTGTCAGCAAAAATCCACTGGCAGAGTTTATGTCCCATCTCCCTTTAGTGCTAGCGCATATAGAGACTGAAAACCTACAGCTGCTATCAGTTGCTTCATTAGTTCAAGTGGCAGAGGTCTGTGCGGTGGATCTACAGGTTTCAACCCTGCTGATGACCAAGCAGTATAATGGGTCAGTCTATATGGTGGTCAGTATAATGCCACATGATGGAATTTCTGTTTTAGAAATTTGCTTTTTAAAAACTTAGGAAATGAGACACATGCAAAAAAAAACCCCCAAAACCCTGTGTTCAAAGAATGTTAAGGTTGCAAAGCCAGACACTCAAAAGTTAGGAAATGCCAGAATTAAAATTGCATGTGCAAACTTAATGTGTATGCATTATGATACAGTCTTTAATTACATGGCCACATGCCGCTTTTTTTCAACAGGACCTCAGTTCCCAAGCATCAAAATGGGATAATAATACCATCTATTCTTGCTTTACTTCACAGTCTTAGCATTCTTTTAATGTAGTGGTTTTTGGATATAATAATATAGAGAATTCCACACCCCAGCCTAAAATATTTTATATGGTCAGACAAAAAAACTTTAGGGCTCAGTTCTGACACCCTACTCTGTAAGTTGTCTCCTTGTAATCAGCTGGGCTACTTACATAGTAAGGTACTCAATGTAAATAAAGGTGGCAGAATCAGATCATAGTTAAGATTATTTAACTAATTATACATTTATTATAACATTGTTAGAATACTAAATTAATCTAAAAAGTACATTAACTACAAAAACAACAAGGAGTCTGGTGGCACCTTAAAGACTAACAGATTTATTTGGGCATAAGCTTTTGTGGGTAAAAACCTCACTTCTTCAGATGCATAGAGTGAAAGTTACAGATGCAGGTATTATATACTGACACATGGAGAGCAGGGAGTTACTTCGCAAGTGGAGAACCAGTGCTGACAGGGCCAATTCAATCAGGGTGGATGTAGTCCACTCCCAATAATAGATGAGGAGGTGTCAATTCCATTTACACAAATCGGTCATCAGGAATGGTAACATACAAAAGTCAGTAAATGAACACTTCAATCTCCCTGGTCATTCTATTACAGATTTAAAAGTCACTATCATTGAACAAAAAAACTTCAGAAACAGACTT